AATTGTACCGTTTTACGGATAAACAAATATAAATAATTGAAATAGAACAATAGAAGAAGACATATGATTAAGTTGGAAATAAATCACATGCATTTAACACATTTTCTACTAATTTTTCGTATTAGAGCTGTGCATTCTCTCCGTGATAATTTGGTTAAATGTATTCTTAGAAGAAGAAAAATGTGTTAAATGTACATTTTTAGTAAAGTAGGGAGACTTATACATACATTTTCTAGGTTTCGATTTGTAAAGCATATTCTCCTTGTGGTTTTAAATATTATATAAATTCTTCTCTTTTTGATATACTAATACAAGTATATATAAAGTTGCCACATAATATAATTAATTCATAGAAGAAAAAACGCTTAATTTTTTTTCCTGGTATTGTGATATCGTAGTTTTCAAATAATTTTGAATCGTAAATCTTATCCTAAAATCCGTTCAAAATTGTCATATAACACACATTCAACGATAAAAAAAAAATTAAGAAAAAATGAAAGTAGTCTTATTATATAAATGAAAAAAATAAAGTTAATACATGAGGGGGCAAATATGTTCATTGCTCATTACAACAGTGATGTTATATATATAATACTTAAAACATATAAGGAGGTAGATGGTAATTTGCAAACTCAAACCTCAGGAAAGGGTGTGTACGTAATTCTGTCAATAAAGTATTTGGTCGCTTTAATTTCTGTACTAAAAAATTATGCACTTGTTATGCTGTATAAGTATCCAGCGTACGTGGAATAACAATAATACACATATCAAATATATGTAATAAAATGACATAAAACAATTACTACTTGTTTGGTTTATCATTTCTTACTTATTATCTCTGGTTTTTTTCTAACAATGTTTGTAGTTTTGAGTTTAAATGTCAATAAAGTTTATAATAAAAGTTTCATGTTTAAAGGAGGAATAGAAGATTGATTTATTTAACTAATTATTATCACATATTTTAGTATACCTCGTTTTAATTTTCATCTTAAACAATTCTCTATTGACATGATAAAAGATGAAAATGCCAAATGTATATTATTTTAATTATATTACTCTATTGTTGTTATATTCTTATAGATGACGTGATCAGAGCTATTTTCAACAATAGCTCATTAGTTATTATTCTGTATAGTAAATTGCTACGTAATAATTTCATATGATTTCGCAGATCAAACACCCTTAATTGTTTTAACAAAGTTTATTGCTTCTTACATTGTGTATCACAAAGGTGCCAAGCGAGAACTGTTGGTTTCGTCACTAAGTTCTAATCGATAATATCAAAGATAGCATTAACATAAGGCATCAAAATTTGGTATACCAAACAAAAAAGAAAGTGAACAAATTTTGAGAGGACGACTTCGAATTTTATTCATTTTTCTTAAAATAATAATACGACGTTTGTCATTATCGATTGAATTTGTAATGGTTTCGGATTAGCTCTTCTGCTGACCTTGAATTACAGTGACCCTCATATTAATTAACTTTGTTCTTCAATCTCCCAAACAACTTGTTACAAGAGGATTTTCTCACAATTGATTGAGATATGTTTTTCTTATATTTTATTTACATAAAATTGGCTTTTTGTGGCAAGCAAAAGTTACATATTGTTGATGCAACATTTACGTACGGAACATTTCTTTAAATGCCGCCTATTGCAGTGGCGAAGCCACATGCTCCTGACCTCCCTTCGTTGAAAAATTGAATTGTGTATATGGATAAAATATAACGTTTTAGGGATATATAATACATATTGAACACCCTTTGTAGGAATGTTTTTTCACTTCTTTCAAATTTAAATACCCTTGGAAAAATTTCTAGTTTCGGCACTGCCTATAGGGATCCAGAGACCTATTTAATAGATAATCTTTAAATGCTTCACAAAATAGCCGTCTCTGTCACTCCTAATTGTTTTTATCACAAATTCTGAGGTCAGTAATCGCACAGTTTTCATCTAGAACTAACGTTTTATTCTCAAATAATTGCATGGTTTTTATCTAAAATGACGTTTTACGGTTATTTGAAATTTGAAAACTCTGTCAAAGTACAAGGTGAGTTCTCAAAGTAGTAGTATTGAAAATTTTCTAGTGCAGGCTAAATTTTGCCTTATAAATTGTGTCGCATTGATGGAGGTAATAGTCCTGGACCCTACTCGACATAAAAGAACTCCCCCATTCGGACTTTGGACCACGGCAAAAATAAATATGGTGATGACTTTTTGTGGGTGTTATCTTAACTAGTCCATTCTTATTACGCTTCACAACAACAATTTGTCAGAGTTGGCGGCTACAATTTCAATGTTTTTCTTTTTAGAATATATGGCATTACGATCAACAAATAATAGACTGTAGTATTACTCAAATTATCACTCTATTATCCGAAATTACCTATTAAAGTCATTTTTCTTTCGTTTGTAACAGTAAAGTCACTCAACTATGCATATAACACTCAGAAGGTCACTCGACTAAATTTCTCAAAATTTTAATTGCCAAATACTTATTTTATTCTCTAAATTATCAACTTTTGTCTTCTTTATTTTTTAAAACTTTTTAATATTATATTTTTTTCTCTTTTTAATTTATATTATGGACTTACCTATAAAATAAATAAATTTTATTTATGAATTAAAAAAGTAAAAATAGTATTTAAGCATATATAATATTGGTAATAGTGTTTAAGCATATATAATATTGAGCATAGTAAGAAAAATAATTTTTTTCAATTTGTTTGTAATAATAATTTTGATATTAAAAACAAAAACTCAATTATTTATACTAAGAATGAAAGAAAATAAAAGTTTTATAATATATATTTCATGCACGTAATATAGAAATAATTATTTAAAATAAAGCTATTCTTATGCTCCCATATACATTATATATTCTTGAAAGTACGCTCAATTATATTATTATTTCGATATTTTATATGCTAGAAAACTAATTTTTTATTTTTATTTTATAGATAAAATTTATTTGTTCTATAAGTAAGTCCATACTATATATAAAAAGGAGAAAAAATTATAAAAGAAGAAAACAAAAGTTGATAATTAGAAGGTAAAACGGATATTTGACAATTAAAAGTTTGAGAAATATGGTTGAATAATCTTCTGAGAATTATAGTTATAGTTAAGTGACTTTTCTGTTACAAACAAAAGAAATATGATTTTACTTATAATTTCAGATAATAGAATGACAATTTAAATAGTGGACTCAAATTACATCGAAAAGTCCCCGTGGACATTCTAGCACGCACTAATTGACTAGATAGGAGCTGAATTCCGTAGCCAATTCAAATTGTATTGTTTTTTCCGTACTGTTTTACTGTACCAAAATTGTAGAGAAGATTCAATTTTACGGGGTCTTAAATGTACTTAAATTTGAAACACCAGAGTGTGAGATACCCCTAAGATGATAACGGTTCTAATTTTTGGCATGAATTTTCTCTTTAATAAAAAGGGCTAAAACCCGCCGGCCCCCCTAACTAACCTAAATTAAGAGAAATTTTCATAATGCATTATCTTTTAGGGGTAATTATCTATTTATAGATATCATTCGCTATATTACGGATTGTAGATACGTTTTCTGTTGTTATAAGATGTATTCGATGTATTTAAGCTACTATATTCATGAATACAATAGCATTTTTAGGCGTGAAACATGGGATTACAGCTAGATAGATTTTTGTATTCGATTGTATTCATGGCGTGAAACATGGGATTACAGCTGGACGAATTATTGTATTCGACTGTATTCACGACGTGAAACAGGGGATTACACTATTTTTAAACGGAAAGTGAATCAATTAACATAATCGACTCCTTATATAACTCAATAAACTCAATTACAACACACAAATTTTGTATTTTCAGTTATAAAAAAAATTCTCAACCTAAAAATACCCCAAAAATATAGCAATCTTTAGAGAAATGATATAATACATCTGAACATATAAATTATATTAATTAAAAAAACATATGAATACATTCATGGCATATAGCGAGACAGTGAATACAATAAAATACATTGATACATTGAGATTGAGTTACAATGAAAAAATAGACAATCAATACAACGAAATGCATGAAAATACAGCGTGATACATTGAAATATATTAACAGAAAACCAAGTTGTTCAGCCCTAAATTGAATTTCTGGACATGCTCGATAACCTCCTCAGCTTTATCATCGACAAATTGAATCCTCGTATATTCCGACAGCTTTCCTTGAAGATCAAGTTCAACCTTAACCCTAGTTGTGTTAGGTCTAGACCTTTCTTGAGTGGCCTTATCAATAGCAATGGGCTTACCTGCTGCTGAGGCAATAGACAACGATGATTTCTTCGTGAACAACATAGGTGGCAGATTCGAAAGCGAGATCCAAACAAAGGCTCTTGAAGTCTCTTCTTTAGGGTTAAATCCAATAGTCCATGGAAATAACCTAAACTGATTTTCTTTCCCATTCAAGGATATGTAGTTAACAGATTCAGCTCCTGCAAGAACATAGTCATCATATCTGTCAAATCTAATCAAAATATGTCTTCTTGCAAGCCATCCAATAAGGCATCGTCCTTGAGTTCCAAACTACAAAGGCAGTTGTTTGTGCAGCTGTAGCATATCAGATTGTCGCCCTAGTGAGAGAGGAGAGAGCGTGGGGGTTTTGATTAATGGTAGGTAATATGGGTGAGAGAAATTTTGAGATTGAGCATCGTGTTTTCAGGGAATAGAGAAGAGAATGACATGTATCAAAGTAGAGAGAGAAAGAAAATAGTGTAACTGAATAGCGTATTTAGTGGCTTAGGGGTAGGAGGTAACCAAAATTAGATATTTTGCTATAAACATTAAAAGATATCTATTGAATATAATTTTTTAAAATAGTATTTATTTAAAATAAATAAGGTGTTAACCTTTGCTACGTAAAAATTCCCTAAATGAATAGGGCTAGTGAATTCCGAATACCCGAAACGTAAGTTTGATAACAATCTTTTTGCTGAAAATTACAGATATATCAAACAAAATATTCCAATAGGTGCATCAATTTCGAGCTCCACACCCACTGATTTATTACTAAAGATGTTCTAATAAATCCAAATGCCCGTCCGTTTACTTAAAATAAACAAACAAAATTATTGAAGCACAACAAAAATGTTAGAGAGGGGTAAAGAAAAGAAAAGGTTTGTACAAGATATTTGTTTCTTAATTACTACTCTATAATCTCTCAAAACTCACAGAAATATATAGTACTGTAATAGATATGAATTGAATCCAATAATCGATATAACGACTTAACATGAAAAACTCAGCAGATAACACAGGAATTAGGATCCTCTTCGACACTTCGCTGATGATAATAAGAAGGAACAGGAGGCTGATAATGTTGATAAGGTTGCTGATAATGGTAATACATAGGAGCTGGGAAAGCCTTCATTACTGGATGGGAATCATCTTTCCCGTCTTTCTTCTTGTCATCTCCTCCCTTTTTGTCATCTCCTCCTTTTTTTCCGTCGTCTTTTTTGCCTTCTTCTTTCTTGCCTCCCTCATCTTTTTTGCCATCGTCCTTCTTCTTCTCTGGCTCTTTTGCTGGTCCAACAGAGAGGATATCAGTGTGACAGAGTTTCCTTAATTTGGAAACTAGTGAAACTGGATCTACGTTTCCTGTTATTGTTAACTTCTTCTCCTTTGAGTCTATTGCAATTGATTCAACTCCTGTAATAGAAATTCAGAGAAATAACAAATCAAAATTGAGAAACTTTACTATTTCGGGATCTGGGCTTCTAGAACGTTCACGATTGCTGTAGAAATATTAGTAAAAAGTAGCGTATAATTTTACCTTCAAGACCAGACACTTTTTTCATGGCCTTTTGCTTGACTTTCTCATCGAAATACTCCAACTTCAGTACGACTTTCTGTGAAAGAAGAAGAATAAAACTTTAGAGATTAAAGCTCCAATAAAACTCAATCAACTTATCAAAAACATATTTCTACAGATAAATCAGTATCCACGCACTGAGAATTGCCCAGTTATAGATATCAACAAGCCAATAGTTAGCAGGTAGTATATACTTTGTATAAAGTGCGCAAATAGAGTTTTGAGTCTAAATTATACTAATATTTCTGGAGAATAAGAATCTGTAATTGAGGGGGAAAAAAAACAGAGAAAATATGCAGAAATCGGAGAGAGAAAAGCTAACCTTCATCTTTTTTAGCGGAGAAATTCGATTCTGCTTTTGGGGTGTGGGAGAAAGTTGCAGATCAAGATCTTCTTTCTTAGATTATTCCTTCTATAAATAGACGAGGAATTAAACAAAGGGAATATTCAAAGGGGGTGGGAGAGAGGTCCAAGAAAAAGAAGAGAAATCAGAAACGAAACGCGTTGAAGCTGCACAAGTGTGGAATGAGCTTTTTTAGTGCCTTGTATTTATATGGGATGATTTTTGACACTGTTGAGTAGGGAGTAGAGTTAGGGACTAAGAGGGATGGAAGGAGGAAGCAACCAAGTCAAGAAAATGTGCAAGGATCCCAAGTCCACGGTCAATAGTTTTTAAGTAATCAAATGTGGCTGCGACTCGAATCATAGTAAATATTTTTCTCCTTTTCTTTTTTACTTTTACGGAAACAAATTGTGTTCACATTGCACTGTTGCAGAGGCGCGCTGTTCAACATGACTAGAAAAAAAAATAATTTAAATAATTATACATATGGTTTAAACTAAAAATAATTGATAGATATATTAATATATATATAATTAGTGCATAACTTAGGTATATCGACTAAAAAAGTTAAACGTCAGTTTAAGTGACTATTTGTGTAAAAATTCCTTGAATAAACGGACCACATCGTTCAATTTCTCCTCACTTTTAAATTCCAATGTAGAGGAATACTTCTTTTTTTGTTTTTTTTTTCCAAATCACTCGAAATAAATTTCTTCCTTCTTTAATTTAATGTTCATATTTTTATTGTTATTCTACCTAAATATATGCATAAATGTAGGGTAAGGTTGCGTACGATAGACTCTTGTGGTCCGGCCCTTCTCCGGATCTCACGCATAGCGGGAGCTTAGTGCACCGGATTGCCCTTTTTTTTACCTGAATAATATGTTTTTCGATTCAAAATATTCACTTTTCTTTTATGGTCTAGGCTAAAAAAATAATTCGCTTTCTAAATAATAGAAATTTTTAAATATATAATACTCACAAAAAACCAAATAGTATGGAAAGGAAAGACTACCATTTTTCCTCGTCAACGCATTAATTTTAGGTATAAACTCATTTGTTCTTGAACTATTCAAGGCCCTGAACTCCAGAAGTCAGTTTCGTCCTTTGGATTAAGAGTTACTCATTTCATTTCTCCCCTAATTGAATGTTTTATTTGACCTTGCACGTAGATCAGAGACGGATGAGAAATGTTACTATTTTAATACTTATAACATGGGTGGGTGTAACATTTTAGTTTTACATTAAACTGGAGCAAAAGTTGTACGGAGATAGTAGAAGTGGTTCACATTTATTCAGCTTTTTATTTTCCTTCTATATTCATATCGATCCAATATTTTTAAAATGTTGCAAGGTTGAAAATTTTTATGCGTAAGAATACTTAAAAGAATTGACAGTCCACTGTTTGGCATGAATGGTTGATATTCATTTTGCGATGGAGGAAGTAATTTGTCAATTTATTACACGACACAATTTTTTAGCTAGCGTGGAACGACCCAGCCGGTCGTTTCGAGAGTAATAGTCCCGATCTCTTATTAACTACTTTTCCCATATCTATTTTCTGCTATTGTGACTTGCCGGGAGGTTTCGTTTTGCTTTTTAGCGTGTTTTGGGACACTTAGTCCCTAAATAGTACCTTAAGTTTTAGAATTTGGACCATAGTCAGAACAGTATGAAGACGGCTCTAGAACGGAATTTCGTCAATCCGTTGCTCCGTTGGGTGATTTTGGGATTAGTAGCGTGTCCGGATTGTATTTTGGAGGTCCGTAGCTCAATTAGGTTTGAAATGGTGAAAGTCGAATTTTTGGAGTTTTGAACCCGTAGTGAAACTTTTGATATCGCAGTCGGATTTCGATTCCGAAAGTTGGAATAAGTCCGTAATGTTGATTTTGACTTGTGTGCAAAATTTGGGGTCAATTGGATGTGGTTTGGTTGGTTTCGGCATCGGTTATCGAATTTGGAAGTTTCAAGTTCTTTAAGTTTGAATCGGAGGATTTGTGATTTTAGCGTTATTTGATGTGATTTGAGGGCTCGACTAAGTTCATATGGTATTTTAAAATTGGTTGGTATTTTTGGTTAAGGTCCCGGGGTCCTCGGGTGAGTTTCGGGGTGAGTTTTGAGCGAGTACGGATTTTGGCACTCTAATGTTGTTCCGGGGGTATTTGGAATGCTGAGGCAAAAGGGAAGTGCGGACCTCAGAGGAATTGTGCGGACCGCACAGTTTTGTGTGTGGGCCGCACAATTTTGTGTGCGGCCGCACTCAGGAACTCTCAGATTCGCTGGTCCAACTTCGGAAGCTTATATCTTTTGATTTACAAGAAATTTTGAGATGATTGAAAAACGAAAGTTGTAGTCTTTCATGTCTAGTATCTAGAAAGGTAAAGAAGTCATAATTGGGATACCTATAGAAAAAGTTATGGCCAAAATACTAAAGCCTAGCAGTGCAGTCACCAAGAGAGTGCGACCGCACAATTTTTGTGCGACCGTAGGAGCTGGTGTAACACCACGTAAATTTGAATCAGTTGTGGATGCATTGAATGAGTATTAATGTTATGGTTATCAATTGGTTATGATAATAAGTGTACGAGGCATATCATAAGTGATTTGGGGTCCAAGGAGAGGCCTAAGTCTAAGTCAAGTTTGAAAATTTCATGATAGACTAAAATTCCAATGAGCACGCACAAGACCAAATGTTTGCACGAGCATATCTACATTTATATAAGGTTTTATACGATGCACAACATATCAAATAAAAGATCTTTGAGTCTAGTTTCTAGTGCTTCAAACCGTTCGTCATTTGGACACTCCTGTCAGAAGTTATGACCAAATTACCAAAAGATCGCAGAATTTTACACTACCGCGCCGCCCCATGTGTCGCCCCCATGCGGTGTGGCTGTGTAGATTAACAGAGCACCTCCAAATTTCGTTTCTAGACACATTTTTCATTACCGCGCCACCCCATGTGTCGTCCCATCCACCGCGGCTGTGCAAATCTTCATTTTTTTTCAACCCGACCCTATTTTGATATAAAACCTTAGGGGGTTATTTTTCCCACTTCATTTGGACGAATTTTATCATTTTCCTCCACTCTCTCAAAACCTCCAACCCTTCTCATCTTCAAGGTAAGCAATCCCCATTATCTTGGTGTGAATTCCATCATTTATACACGAATATTGATGAAATCTACACATAAAATACTTAGATCTTCAAGGGATTTCTTCAAGAACTCAAAGGAGAGTTTTGCAAGATTTCTTCCAAAAAGGTAATCCTACACCCTTAGACTTACATGTATGGATTTATTAAGGGAATATGAGTATGAATAAGTATTGGAACTCTTGGTATGGTGATTGGAAACCATAAGTTCTCAATTTGATTACACAACTATTATAGAGATTGAAAGATGTTTATTTAATGAGACTTTGTTGGTTGGGTATGGATGGATGGTCATATATGTGATTTTGGAAGTTATAAATTGGTTAATCATGATGGTGGGATAAATTATTGATGAATGGTGGTAGTTAGATGAACTAATTATATGGTGATGAGATGTAGAGATTTATGCCTACAAGGTGTTTGATAATATGCCTAAATGGCTTAAGTTATGGAATTTGTTACTAATATTGGGTTCCATTGGATGTTGCTATTGTAGGTTGAAGGTTCTTAGTATTGTGGATCATTGTAGTATCATTAAGGGGCAAAATTGAGGTATGTAAGGCTAACTCTTTACGTTTGGGAATGTCTATGATTCTCCCTACGTTCCATTCATTATGACCAATACCAGTTTCCTCAGAAAGTAACTATGCCTTAGTTCCCTGAATAGTAGTAGAACTTCTATTCTCTAGATGGCATAGTTTCATAATCATTTGATATTCTATGAGTTTCAGTTATGACAAATCAACTTATTATGAATACTCATCTCAGTCTAATCATATTCACTATTCCAGTCATGTAACTAGGTATGGCTCATTGTTTCAGTATCATGTATTGCAGTATGATTCTAAATTCCTGAATGTTGAACACCTGTATTTGGGCCTAAGGCCGTAGTTTTTGCCTTATGCATGTTTGGGCCTGATGTCGTAGTTTATTCTTTTTGCTTTTTTGGGTCTGAGCCGTAGTTATGTATACGTATACTTGGGCCTGAGGTCGTAGCTTGTGCACATATATAGATTGGGCCCGAGGTAGTAGTTTATTAGTTAAAAAGGTTGTTCATCATTCAGAAGAGGGAGTATTCATATCCTTGCTTCCTTGTTCAGTTATCAGTTTATCTGCTAGCAGTTAAGTTTCAGTTTCAGTATCAGTCCAGTTATTAGTTATCATTTCAGTTTCAGTAGTTATCATTTCAGTTATCAATTATCAATTCTCAGTTATCAGCTTAGTTTCAATTTCAGCATTTTTAATTCTTTCTTTCAGTTGCTTTACATACCAGCGCAATTCAAATGTACTAACGTCCCTTTTTGCCCGGGGCCTGCATCTCGCGATACAGGAAACAATTTTCAGGTTGACGATTCTACTTGCTAGGACATCTCGTATCATCTACTGGTGAACCCCAGTCTTTCGGGGCCTTATCTCTCTTTTGTTTTAGTCATTATAGTATTTCAGTTAATAAGGTATACCGGGGACCCTGTACTGGTAAACAGTTAGCATTTTCAGTATTCTTTAGAGGCTCCATAGACTATAACTCAGTCATCAGATATTAGCAGGCTTTCATGTGTTAGCCTTGTCGGCTACTTGTTTATATTTGCAGACCTTTTAGTATTTTCCGCATCTATAATATTTCAGTTAGACTCTTTAGTAGATTATCATGTTTTATATTTACCTCTAGCTCATAGTTATACCACATGTTGATCTAGCCATATTGTTGGTTCATTCGGTCACATGCAGTCAGACACCGAGTGTCGTGTTATGCCCAGACCATAGTTCGGGCATGATGAAGCTTGGTATCAGAGCCCTAGATTCAAGAGTCCTAGGGAGTCTATGAAGCCGTATCCAGTGGGGTCTCTTTTATGTGTGTGTGCGCGCCACACATGTACACAGTTGACCACCAAGACATCTAGGATTGTTCCATTTATTTCATACTCTAGATCGTGTAGTTAGAGCTATGCTTTCAGGAATCTTTCTAAACCATGCGAATTGCGTATTTAAAAAAATTCCTGCAAAAAGAAAGTACACCAGGAGGGCCTCAACTACTAGCCAGGGGGCCACGACTATTGCTGCTCAGGAGGAGGACACTCCGGCCAGGGGGCTGCATTGGGCTCAGTGCCCAATGCTTCAGACATAAATGTCAGGGGAGCTATCTAGTTGCTCACCCAGATTGTTGCTACACAGGCTCAAAGGCAGGGAACAAGTGATGTTCATGAGATGGGTAGTTCCAGGTTTAGGGAATTCCTTAACATGAAACCTCCCGTCTTCACAGGGTCCAAAAAGGATGAGGATCTGCAAAACTTCATTGATGAGGTTTAGAAGATACTTTGAGTGATGCATGCTACAAATACTAAGGCAGCAGAGCTTGCTGCATACCAGCTTAAGGATGTTGCCAACACTTGGTATGAAATATGGGAAGAGTCCCGAGGGGAGGATGCGGCTCCTGCGACTTGGAAGGAGTTTGCAAATACGTTCCTTAAGCATTTTCTACCCATTGAGGTCTTGTAAGCTAAGGCTTTGGAGTTTGAGAGACTCAGACAAAATGATATGAGTGTGAATGAGTACTACCTCAAGTTCATCTCTCTGGCCAAGTATGCTCCGGAAATGGTACGTGATATGTGGGCCAAAGTTAGGCGGTTTTTGTTGGGACTTTCAGATGATTTGTTTGCTGATGCTAATATAGATGCTCGGAATAATGACATGACCATCACTAAGATAGTTGCCTTTGTTCAAGGGAATGAAGATAGGTTGAAAGAAGAAGAGCGGCTACAGAAATAGAAGGATAGGGAATTCAGCAAGAGAACTAAGTCTGTAGGAAATTTCAGCCACGGGGGATCTCAAGCATGAGGCGATCACTAGTTCTTCAGGAAATCAAAATCAGGACCTGCTCCATATTCAGCTAGTGCACCAGTTCTGAGGTCAAAGTTTAGCAAGAAAAACCAAAATTTCAAAGCAGCAGGCTCACAGTCACAGACTAGTGTGGGCTACAGAGGCCTTGAGTACCCTACTTGCAATACGTGTGGTAAGAAGCATCCAGGGATGTGTCATTTGGGCACAAATAGTTGCTTTGGGTGCAGTCAGTAGGGCCACTTCTTGAGGGATTGTCCATCAGTAAAGTAGAATAATGGAGGCAATGTTGCTCAATCCACTAATTCAGCAGCCCCTCATAACTCTCAGGCCCAACAAAGGCGCGGTGCAGCAAAGTCTAGTAATGCAGGCGGTGGTCAAAACTGCTTGTATGCACTAGCAAGCCGTCAGGATACAGAGGCTCGTGGAGATGTTGTCACAGGTATGCTAACAATATTCACTTTTGATGTCTATGCTCTTATAGATCCGGGATCCACCCTATCTTATGTAACCTCATATGTTGCTAAGAAATTTGGGATAGAACCCGAAAAGTTGTGTGAACCCTTTGAAGTGTGCACTCTAGTTGGAGAATCAGTTATAGCAAGGTATATATATAGGGGATGTCCAGTCAAAGTGTATCATCGTCTTACTGCAACAGACTTAGTAGAATTAGAGACGGTAGACTTCGATGTGATCATGAGCATGGATTGGTTAGAGTCCTGTTATGCCACAGTGGGTTGTAGAACCAAAATAGTAAGTTTTGAATTTCACGGTGAACCAGTCTTAGAATGGAAGGGTGATGCAGTAACACCTAGGGGTAGGTTTATTTCCTATCTTAAAGCCAGAAAAATGATCTCCAAGGGATATATCTATCACCTGGTTCAAGTTAAGGATGCATATGCTCAGATCCCCACTCTTCAGTCGATACCAATTGTAAATGAGTTTCCAGAAGTGTTTCCCGAAGATCTCCCTAGAATCCCTCCCGATAGAGAGATTGACTTTGGAATTGATCTACTTCCAAGCACTAAATCGATATCTATTCCACCTTATAGAATGGCTCCAACAGAGCTGAAAGAGTTAAAGGTCCAGTTGAAAGATCTTCTGGATAAAGGATTTATAAGGCCAAGTATCTCACCTTGGGGCGCACTGATCTTGTTTGTCCGAAAGAAGGATGGGTCTTTGCGTATGTGCATTGACTACCGTCAGTTGAATAAAGTCACCATCAAGAACAAGTACCATCTTCCCAAAATAGATGATCAACTTTAGGGTGCCCAATGTTATTCCAAGATTGATCTCAGATCAGGATACCATCAGTTGAAGGTTAAGGAAGTTGATATTCCAAAAATAACTTTCAGGACTCGATATGGGCATTTCGGATTTTTGATAATGTCATTGGGTTTAGCGAATGCACCATCAGCTTTCATGGACCTTATGAATATGGTCTTCAAACCTTATCTTGATTTGTTCGTTATCGCGTTTATTGATGACATCTTGATTTATTCCCGTCGCAAGACAGACCGTGCAGAACATCTCAGAATTGTATTGCAGACACTGCAGGATCACAAGTTATGTGCAAAATTTTCTAAGTGCGAATTCTGGTTGAAATCAGTAGCGATTTTGGGCCATGTCATCTCAGGGGAAGGCGTGCAGGTGGACTTTCAGAAAATAGAGGCAGTGAAGAATTGGCCTAGACCCACCTCAGTATCTGATATAAGAAGTTTCTTGGGTCTAGCAGGCTATTATATGCGTTTCATAGAGGGATTTTCTTCTATCTCGTCCCCTTTGACTAGATTAACTCAGAAGAAAGTCAAGTTTCAATGGTCGGATGCGTGCGAGAAAAGTTTTGAGGAGTTAAAGAAGAGGTTGACTTCAACTCCATTCCTGTCACTACCGGAAGGAACCGAAGGGTTCATTGTTTATTGTGATGCTTCAGGGGTTGGTCTTGGGTGTGTATTAATGCAGCACGGTAAAGTCATAACTGTGAGCACCTAATTTTTGCCCTACATGAAAATAACTCTTAAAAATAAATCAATAATAATTTTTAAGGGATTTTAGAAGTTTTTCTTTATTTAGTTGCATTTCATGCATTTTTAATATTTTAAAATCATAGAAAAATCATAAAAAATTGTCATGTTTTAATTATCATGCCATCTTAGGTTTAGTTTGCATTTAGGAATTTAATTTCATAATTTAAACAAAAATCATAAAAAAATTACTACAATAGTCATGTCCACATCTTAGCTTTTAGTTTTAAATTAATTAGTGTTAAATTAATAAAAATAAGATTAACTTTACAAAATAATTTAAGGTAGAGCCTAATTTAGGATTTTATTTAGCTTGTTTAATTAATTCAATTAGATTTTTGAAATCAAAAGAAAAAAACAAAGAAACAAGAAGTAGATTTGGTCATTCAATTTCGTCTGGGCAAGATTAATTTGAAGCCCAAAAATTCCAAATAACCCAATTACCAACATTTCAGCCCAATTATTTTAGCCCAATACCCATTCTCTACCATTAAAATAACCCTAGCTCTATTTAACCTAGCCAAGACCTAAGGACAACAGATTAGATTCCTACCCTTAAAAACAAGCGCCGTTCTCCTCTTCTTCTTGCTCACTTCTAACAGAGACAGAGAAATGGTGGAGACCCTTCCCCCATTTTAAAAACACTAAGTCACCTCTTCTTCTCTCTTCTTCATCCTCTCTAAAAACCCTTTCCTCCACCCAAAGACCATTATAAACCCCCATTAGAACTAGCTCTCTCACACCACAAAACCAATCCAAAACAAGCTCGGATTAACCCCAAAAATGACCTCAGAACAGCTCCAATAATGAGCTAAAAACTGTCCCAAAACCAGTGTTAAACCACCACCAAATCAGCTCCAAAACCCCCCATTAAAACCAGCTCAAATGAAGTTCCAAACATAGCTAGAACATACCTGAAACCAAGCTCAAAATTAACCTCAAATCAGCCCCAAAATGGTTGTGTTATTGCTGGAAAATCAGCAACGGAACAACCTTGAAACCAAGCTAGCTTAAGATTCTACTCTCTTGCTCTATTTTTTTTTTGGAAATTCAAGTGCGAACAAGTTTGAGAAGTGCAATTTGCTGCTGTTGATCGCTGAAATTTTTGCTGAGCCTCGATCGAGTTTGTCTCGGCTTTTAGTCAGTTTATTCGAGTTTTCTTGTTCAACCAGGTTAGTACGAAGATTCTATGTATTATGCTTTTAGTAAATGATTAAACAATTGAGTTCATGCTTAAACTTGAAGATCCTCTCGATTCCTGATTTTTTTTATTATCATGTGTAGTGGATGTTTGCATAATAGTTAATTTTAGTTAGATAGTATTTTAAGTCTAGTATTTGATAATTTTGCTGTGACAGTGATGAGTTATGTGTTACTTCAGTTGGAACTGGGCTTGTGAGAATATTTGTTTTCCAGTTTTGTTTAAACTCGCAAGAATTAGTTCTAGAGATTTGAACTTCTGCTGTATTTTTGTTCTTTTTCTTTTGTTTGTTTGGGCCTGATAAGTATTCGGCTCAGCTGAAGTAGTAGGTGGCAGAAGAGTTCATGTGAACTCCGAAATGAGCTTTCTAGCCATTTTCAAAAGCATCTCAAGACTAGGTAATAAGCCCGTGAAGTTTAGTTTGAAATTTGTTTGGGCCAATTTGACTCAGCAGATTCATTTTGAATGAGGGCTTAACGCTCAATTTTATTTTCTAAAGTCAAGGTTTCTTTTAATCACAGTATTCCTTTCATTCTTAATCAATTATCTCTACCTTTTGTTAGATTAACCAACCATTCGGAAGATTAGGAGTTAACCCAACAATGAATTATCCTTCGCAAACAGAGCTTTGATTCATCTATTAAACAATTAGGATTACTTCTTTAAGCTCATGATAGTTCCTATAATCATACCTTGTACTAAGCTTGAAACAAATACAATTTAGGAAACTAGCTAACCTAATATTCATGAACACCGTAGTTTGCTTTAGGGGTGATTAATTTTAAATCATCACGGCTATGGGTACGTTTCCTGTGGCATAGTCGTGATACATAATTCCCAAATTCGGGTATGCATTTCATGTGATCCAATCATAACAACTTCGAATAATATTAACAAAAATAAATATATCGCGAATCGCGGGTGCATTTCATGTAACGCGGTTTGCGGTGTGTTCCAAAACGACAAATGTACAACAATCGTAACTTGTTCAAGAAATAATTCCATAAATCCTAAAAGCGGTAAAAATAATTAAAAAGCGGTTATAAAGTTAAAAATGCAGAATAGGTTTAAAACATGCAATTAATCAAATAATAGGCCAATTTTAATAGTTTAAGCGACCGTGCTCGAACCATGGAACCCGGGAATGCCTAACACCTTCTCCCGGGTTAACAGAATTCCGTATCTAGAGTTTCTGGTTCGCACACTTTTAAATAAAGTCATAAATTTCTTCGACTTGGGATTTTAAAATGAACTGGTGACTTGGGACACCCAAATAAATTATCTCAAGTGGCGACTCTAAAATAAATAAGTAATCCCATTTCGAATAATATCACTTTAATTAGAAAAACTCCCTTATGTCTGCCTTCGGGTGGTAAAAAGGAGGTGTGACAATAGCCTACGCGTCGAGACAACTCAAGGCTCACAAGAAGATTATCCAACTCATGATCTTGAATTAGCAGCTGTGGTGTTTGCGCTTAAGATCTGGCGCCATTATTTATATGGGGTACATGTTAACATTTTTACAGATCACAAGAGTCTCCAGTACATCTTCAAGCAAAGAGAATTAAATCTACATCAGAGAAGGTCGCTCGAATTATTTAAAGATTATGATGTTGATATCCTCTATCATTCGAGGAAGCAAATGTTGTAGCCAATGCTCTCAGTCGGCGTTCTATGGGAAGCTTAGCTCATGTTAAGGCAGACAAGCAAACTATGATGAAGGAAGTCCACCGCTTAGCAAGTCTAGGAGTTCGACTTTTGGACTCCAAAGATGGTGGTGTTGTTCTCCAGAATAGGGCTGAATCCTCCTTAGCAGCCGAAGTAAAGGAAAAATAGTTCAATGGTCCCTACTTATTGCAGCTGAAGGAGAGAATTCACAAACACAAGACTATGGCTTTTAAAAAAGGGGGAGGTGATGGTACTCTGAGGTACAGAGGCAGACTATGCGTTCCAGACGTAGATGGGCTCAGAGAGCAGATTATGTCAGAAGCCCACAATTCCAGGTATTCTATTCACCCAGGTTCCACAAAGATGTATCATGATCTTAAGGAGGTTTATTGGTGGAACGATATGAAAAAGAATATAGTAGATTTCGTAGCTAAGTGTCCAAATTGTCAACAGGTGAAAGTCGAACACCAGAAACCTGGCGGTTTAACTTAGAATATAGAAATTCCCATCTGGAAATGGGAGATGATAAACATGGACTTCATAACAGGTATACCTCGCTCGTTCCAGAAGCATGATTCGATTTGGGTAATTGTAGACAGACTTACCAAGTCAGCTCACTTCTTGCCAGTGAATACTACAGATTATGCCGAGGATTATGCCAAGTTGTATATCAAAGAAATTGTCCGATTGCATGGGACTCCTTTGTCCATTATCTCATATCGTTGTGCTCAGTTCATAGCAAACTTTTGGAAATCCTTTCAGAAGGGATTGGGCACAAGGGTGAACCTCAGCACCGCTTTTCATCCTCAGATAGATGGCCAGGCGGAAAGCACTATTCAGACTCTTGAGGATATGTTGAGGGCTTGTGTTATTGATTTTAAAGGTAATTGGGACGATCATCTACCTCTCATTGAGTTTGCTTATAATAACAACTATCACTCTAGTATTAAGATGGCACCGTACGAAGCTCTGTATGGGCGAAGGTGTAGATCACCAATTGGTTGGTTCGAAGTCGGAGAAGCGGAGTTTTTAGGACCTAATTTGGTCTATTAGGCTATGGAGAAAGTCAACTTGATACAAAGGCATTTGAAGACGTCTCAAAGTCGCCAAAAGTCCTATTCGGACGTGCGGCGTAGAGACTTAGAGTTCCAAGTTGATGATTGGGTGTTTCTGAAAGTATCGCCCATGAAAGGTGTTATGAGATTTGGGAAGAAGGGGAAGCTTAGTCCCGGCTATATTGGTCCATATAGAATATGGCGAAGGATCAGACAAGTGGTTTATGAGTTAGAATTGCCACAAGAACTAGCTGCTGTACACCCAGTGTTTTATGTGTCCATGTTGAAGAAATTCATGGGAGTCCCGTCACTTGTGGTTCCTACAGAGATTATAGGGGTTAAAGACAACCCGTCTTACGAAGAAATTTCAGTGGCTATTCTTGATCGTCAAATCCGCAAGCTTAGAACTAAGGAAATTGCTTCAGTAAAAGTGCTTTAGAGAAATCAAAAGGTTGAAGAGGCTACATGGGAAGCCGAGGAGGACATGAAGTCCATATATCCCCATCTCTTTGAAGAGCAAAAGAAAAATGTAGAAGGTAATTAACCTTTCCATTCAGGTCTTATATTATAATCTCCATGTCCTTCACTATTTACGCAGCTTAGTATTTAGTGATCACGTGCTCGTTCAGTATGATATACGTGTATTCATGATATTTCAGTTGCATATCTCTATCACACCCGTTCAATGTCCATATATAGTCGTAGTTGCAGCCAGGACAATCATTCGAGGACGTATGATCCCAAGTGGGAGATAATGTAATACCCCGTAAATTTGAATCAGTTGTGGATGTATTAAATAAGTATTAATACGATTGTTATCAATTGGTTATGATAATAAGTGTACGAGGCATATCATAAGTGATTTGGGGTCCAAGGAGAGGCCTAAGTCTAAGTCAAGTTTGAAAATTTTATGATAGACTAAAATTCCAAATGAGCACGCACAGGACAAAACTTTTCACGAGCATATCTACATTTATATAAGGTGTTATATGATGCACAACATATGAAATGAAATATATTTGAGTCTAGTTTCCAACGCTTCAAATCGTTCGTCATTTGGACACTCCTATCAGAAGTTATGACCAAATTACCAAAAGCTCACAGAATTTTACACTATCACGCCGCCACATGCGTCGCCCCATGCGGCGTGGCTGTGTAGATTAACAAAGCACCTCCAAATTTCGTTTCTAGACACATTTTTCATTACCGCGCTGCCCCATGCGCCGCGGCTGTGCAAATCTTCATTTTTTTTCAACCCAACCTTATTTTGATATAAAACCTTGGGGGGGGGGGGGGGTTATTTTTTCCACTTCATTTGGACGAATTTTAGCGTTTTCCTCCACTCTCTCAAGACCTCCAACACCTCCCATCTTCAAGGTAAGCAATCCCCATTATCTTGGTGTGAATTCCATTATTTATACACGAGTATTGATGAAATCTACACATAAAATACTTAGATCTTCAAGGGATTTCTTCAAGAACTCAAAGGAGGGTTTTGCAAGATTTCTTCCAAAAAGGTAATCCTACACCCTTAGACTTAGATGTATGGATTTATTAAGGGAATATGAGTATGAATAAGTATTGGAACTCTTGGTATGGTGATTGAAAACCATAAGTTCCCAATTTGATTACACAACTATTATAGAGATTGAAAGATGTTTATTTAGTGGAACTTTGTTGGTTGGGTATGGATGGATGGTCATATATGTGATTTTGGAAGTTATAAATTGGTTAATCATGATGGTGGGAAAAGTTTTTGATGAATGGTGATAGTTAGATGAACTAATTATATGGTGATGAGATGTAGAGATTTATGCCTACAAGGTGTTTGATAATTTACCTAAATGGCTTAAGTTATGGAATTTGTTACTAATATTGGGTTCCATTGGATGTTGCTATTGTAGATTGAAAGTTCTTAGTATTGTGGATCATTGTAGTATCACTAAGGGGCAAAATTAAGGTATGTAAGGCTAACTCTTTACGTTTGGGAATGTGTATGATTCTCCCTATGTTCCATTCATATGACCAATACCAGTTTCCTCAGAAAGTAACTATGCCTTAGTTCCCTGAATAGTAGTAGAACTTCTATTCTCTAGATGACATAGTTTCATAATTATTCGATATTCTATGAGTTTCAGTTATGACAAATCAACTTATTATGAATGTTCATCTCGGTCTAATCATATTCACTATTCCATTCATGTAACTAGGTATGGCTCATTGTTTCAGTATCATGTATTGCAGTATAATTCTCAATTCCTGATTCTAAATTCCTGAATGTTGAACACCTGTATTTGGGCCTGAGGCCGTAGTTTATGCTTTATGCATGTTTGGGCCTGAGGTTGTAGTTTATGCTTTGTACATTTTTGGGCTTGAGACCGTAGCTTGTGCACACATATATATTAGGCCCGAGGTCGTAGTTTATCAGTTAAATGAGTTGTTCATCGTTCAGAAGAGGGAGTATTCATATCCTTACTTTTATGTTCAGTTATCAGTTTATCAGCTAGCAGTTCAGTTTCAGTATCAGTTCAGTTATCAGTTATCATTTCAGTTTCAATAGTTATCATTTAAGTTATCAATTATCAATTCTCAGTTATCAGTTTGGTTTCAGTTTCAGCATTTTTAATTCTTTCTTTCAGTTGCTTTACATACCAGCACAATTCAAATGTAATGACGTCCCTTTTTGCCTGGGGCCTGCATCTCGCGATGCAGGTAATGATTTTCAGGTTGACGATTCTGCTTGCTAGGACATCTCGTATCAGCCATTGGTGACCCAGTCTTTCGGGGACCTTATCTCTCTTTTGTTTTAGTCATTATAGTATTTCAGTTAATAAGGTATACCGGGGACCTTATCCCGGTAAACAATTAACATTTTCAGTATTCTTTAGAGGCTTCGTAGACTATAACCCAGTCAGTCAGATATTAGCAGGCTTTCATGTGTTAGCCTTGTCGGCTACTTGTTTATACTTGCAGGCCTTTCAGTATTTTCCGCATCTATGATATTTCAGTCAAACTCTTTAGTAGATTATCATGTTTTATATTTACCTCTAGTTCATAGTTATAGAACATGTTGATCCAGCCATACAGTTGGTTCGCTCGGTCACATGCAGTCAGGCACCGAGTGTTGTGTGACGCCCAGACCATGGTTCGGGGAGTGATAGCTGGGATGTGTGGCCGCACTTGGAATAGTGAGGACCGCACATAGTGAGTTCAGAGAATGTACTATATAACTGAGGCTTAAGTTATTACTTCATTTTTTGGACCTTGGGAGCTCGGTTTGAAATGATTTTTCGTGGGTTTTTCAAGAAATTTATCGGGGTAAGTAATTCTAACTAGGATTTGGTTAATATACATGAATATATCACTGATTCCATCATTTAATTAGTACTTTCAGATGAAAATTTAGAAAAAATTATAGAAACTTCATAAACCACAAATTGAGGTTTGAAGGTCAAGTTGTGATCGGAATTGGCTAATTTTGGTATGGTTGGACTCGTGAGAGAATTGGTGTTCATATTTTGTGAATTTTACTCGATTTCGAGACGTGGGCCCCGGGAGGCTTTTTGAGCGATTTTTACAATTTCTTGCTTTGGCTTTGATTTCATTAGCTAGATTAGTTCCCTGTAGTTATATTTATGCTATGTAATTGATTTTGGCTAGATTTGGGTCATTCAGAGTCGGATATTTGTGGAAAGAGCATTGTGACTGATTGATTGAGCTTAGTTCGAGGTAAGTGGCTTGCCTAACCTTGTGTGAGAGAACTCCGCTTAAGATTTGGTACTATTTTTTGATATGTTAGCGCCGTGTACGTGAGGTGACGAGTACGTACATGGGCTAATTGTTGTAAAAAAAACAATTTTCACTGAATAATAATCTGTTCTTCTTCTTATTTGAGTTATATCAGCATGTGTAGTATCCTGTTAGCTTAGAATAGCATGTCTACTTGCCTTAATTGCTTATCTGAACTCTGTACAACATGTTTAGTGAAATTCTTGTTTCTCCTTGACTTGTGTTTAGTCTAAACTGTAGGTTCTCTTACTGTAACTGTTATTTCTGTTGTTTGAGCTGCATATTTACTTTGGGACTACGGAACGGTATTCCGGTAGATCCCCCCTGTTCTGCATATTTACTTTGGAACTACGGAGCGATATTTCAGTAGATCCTCCTCATGTTCTGCATATTTACTTTGGGACTACAGAACGGTATTCTGGTAGATCCCCTTGCACATTTATGTTTGGGACTACGAGACGGTATCTCGGGAGATCCCCTATTATTATCACTGTATTATGAGCTATTTTCTTTCATTTATTCTATCTTCGTTAGATTTTCGTATCTATTTTTACTACGATATTTCATTCTATCTTATTTTATTATATTTATACCAGTAGGGCCCGGATCTTATCTCGTCACTACTCGACCGGGGTTAGGCTTGGCATT